ACGGCATGGAGAACAGTCACCCCCACCACCACCACCAGCAGCCCCCGCCGCAGCCCGGCCCTTGGGGCGAGAGGAGGAACCACCATTGGAGAAGTTACAAGTTGATGATTGACCCAGCTCTGAAAAAGGGGCACCATAAACTGTACCGCTACGATGGGCAGCATTTCAGCCTGGCGGTGAGTAGCCGACGCGCCTTCCCGCCACCCCCACCCATCCCCGGTGGAGCCCCCAGACAGAGGCAAACGGAGAGGGACCCCTCTCCCAGCCACCTGGCCAACTGTCAGCCAGGGCTCCCCCCTCAGCCTGGAGTGGGACTGGTGCCTGGAGGGGGGGATCTCCCCCTGCCCCTGGGGAGGTTGCCAGCTTTCCATACTGAGCCCCCTATCCCTGCCCACAGATGTCCAGCAACCGTCCGGTGGAAATCGTGGAAGATCCCCGGGTGGTCGGAATCTGGACCAAAACCAAGGAGCTGGAGCTGTCGGTGCCCAAATTCAAGGTAGGACCCCTCCTCTCTGTCTTATGGTCCCTCCCCCCTTCCCCGAGTTCGAAAATAACGCCAGTCCTGACCAAGCCCAGCCGGATTCTGAGTTCCCGCCGTCCAGGGCTGGGAAGTTTTGGCGGGGAGGGGGAGAGTGGTGTCCCCTCCCGGCCACTGTAAACAAAATAACACTCGGAGAAACTGTAACGAGGACGCTGATACAGAGTCCTGCCGGGGCTCCGGGTCCCCACCTGGGTCCTGTGCACCCGGGGGCCTGGTTCAGGGACCCGCCCCCTTTCCCATCCCTTTGGCTTTAAAAGGGGCAACTTCCTAGACCAGGGGGTCGTCCCGGAACCTACAGCAAGGACAGGAGGCCAGAATATGGGGTGGGAAAAGAGAAACTGTTTCTTTTTCCCCTTTCCTTTAGAACCCAGAGGACTTCCAGGTTCCAAACGATTTAATCCTCTGCTTCCCAGGCCCGCCCGCATGCTTTTTTTTTCTTTTTCAAAAAAATTAAAAAAAAAAGTCACCCTTTATTGTTTTTAACCGCTGGGCAAGTGAGGAGTGTTGTGTTTTCTCTTTGGTTTTAATGTTTTCCAAACTCCCTTCCCCCCCGCGGCCCCTGCTAGATCGATGAGTTCTACGTGGGCCCTGTGCCTCCAAAGCAGGTGACATTTGCCAAGCTGAATGACAACATCCGTGAAAACTTCCTAAGGGACATGTGCAGAAAGTATGGGGAGGTGGAGGAGGTGGAGATTTTGTATAACCCGAAGACCAAGAAACACCTGGGCATTGCCAAGGTGGTCTTTGCCACGGTCAGGGGCGCCAAGGAGGCCGTCCAGCATTTACATAGCACTTCTGTCATGGGTAACATCATCCACGTGGAGCTGGACACCAAAGGTTAGTAGAGGCCTGGAGGCTGCCCATGGGGGAGGAGCTGGAAGGCCACCTGTCAGCCTGAACCCCTTCCTTTGAAATCTCCCTTCAGAGTTAGGAGAACCCTTCTATTGTCGCCTCTTCCTTGGGATACCCTCCCATCACCTTATTTATTTTTTGTCCCCTCCGGAGGGCAGTGTCACATGGAGCCAAATGTGTTGTCTGTTGCTAGGAGACAGGATATAATTTACCTAATGTGCCAGTCCTTGGCCACTGCACCCTTAGGGACCACCCAGAGGTTTCCCCACTTACGACACCCCCGTGGGCCCCTCTCTCTGAGCTCCAATGGCCTGGTTTAGGCAGTCCCTAGTGTTGCTGCCTGTGTTTGGGGAGAAGGAAGCATTTGTTTATTTGTAGGGGGCAGAGGAAGAACCATGTGCCTTTAAATTCATGAAAGTCATTCCTTAAAGGTCTAGAGTGCCATGCTTGACATCCCCCCAGCCCCTACCGAGCCCCTTCCCTGAACCAATCTGAGCTCTGTAGTGTTTCATTGATAATGTTCTGATAGCTAGCACTGATAGTGGATCTTGGGGGCGGGCTGCTCTGGGTGCTCAAGGGTTGACACTTGTCTTCCCTCCTCTCTCTTAAAGAGACCGCAGCACCTTGGTCTGCTCAGTTGGGCTGGGGAGCCACACCTCCTACCTTCAGGGTTGCTGACTTTCCCCCTCAGTCTGGGCTCAAGACTCAGGTAGAAAGGCCAGGCAAGACTCAGAGAGCATTCCCCCTAAGTTTGCCTCTGTCCTTTCTGAGAGAGTCCTACCCATCTGAAGGAAAGTTCAGGGCACTCTGGAACAAGGGAGTCCCTAGTCCCTGGGTCCCACTGTAAAGTCCAGAGTTTGGGGGTGGGGGTGGTGTAAGGGGAACCCTGCCTGAGAGGACTCAGGCCCAGCTTCAGGGGTGTTGTGAGCACTGTGCTTGTGAGTACCTGAGCACAGCAAAGGCAAGAGAGGAGAACATACTCTGTTTTGTTTTGCTTTTAACAATGGCTACATGTTGACTGCATCTCTGAAACAGACTGACCATGCTGGGTGTTGCAAAGGGTTGTGGTGGTTCTGAGTGAATTTGGCTAGCCCACCTGCAGAACTTTGGCCTAGTTATGTGTCATAAGCTTGTCATGTCTGTCCGATCTACAGCTCTCCTGCTCCTCTTTCCCTGGTTCCTCACTCTGTAGTAAAGTTCACGTGTGTGTGTGTGTGTGTGTGTGTGTGTGTGTGTGTGTGTGTGAGAGAGAGAGAGAGAGAGAGAGAGAGAGAGAGAGAGAGAGAGCGCTCCCCTTTCTGACAGTAAGCTGAGTCTAATTTCCCCCAAGACTGAAGCATGCCATCCCCTCCCCCATCACGTGCCCACATCTTAAAGAGCAGCTATGTCTTACCACAATTTCATTTCTGAAAAAAGAAAAGAAAAACAACCCTGAGATACTACCGCCTAAGTTTGAGATTGTATTTCAAGAAAGAACCCAGCAAAGTGTAAAGTGTAGCTCAAGGAATGTACCTCCTTTGCATATGTAAGCAGCTGCCTCTAAGGCTCTATAAATACCGGTGATCTGGGGCCTGGTTGATAAAAATCTCTGGTGGGTAGAGAGTTAGACTTAGGGCTCATAGGGACCATTTGGGCCCTGGGTAGTCCCCAGGCAGACATGGGTCCCTCTCGGGGCTTAAGCTAGTGAAAAGCACCATACAGTTGGTTCACAGTAATACATGGGTTTCACAAACTTTGCTATTCGTCTGGCCCTGGATGGTTAACAGTCACCTCAGTCACCTGACTTCCTGTGTGTCCTTGGTACAAGCTGTGCAATTCAGAGGTGAAAGAATTGTGGGGAGATGGGGGTAATAAATGTCTCCTTGGGAACCATGGTCCAGGTAATGAAAAGGACTTTGCACTGAGGATGGCATTTTGGGGTTTTGGAGGATCTCTACCCAACAGAGTGTTCACCTTAAAGCCTCAGAGTCAGAAAAATCAGAGTTTTGTCGCTTTGTTGGACAGATGAAAATCTTGGAGGTGCAAGAGAGGGTAGGAACCCAATCAGGGTTCATGCAGTGTCCCCAGGCTTGTGGTCTCGGGCACAAGGGATCCATGAAGATGCTAATAAACAAGTTGGAATCCCCATGGGCAAATCTCCTGCTGGAGCCTCCATGGATACCCTCTCCCCTGCCTGTTTCAGGGGAAACTCGAATGCGCTTCTATGAACTGTTGGTCACCGGCCGGTACACCCCCCAGACCCTCCCAGTGGGTGAGCTGGATGCTATTTCTCCAATTGTGAATGAGACACTGCAGGTAGGTTGATCACACTGTTGCTCCTCTGGCTCAGCACCTCTGGCTTTAGGGGCGGGGTCACACCTGCTTGTAGGTTCAGAGCTGGTCTAAAAGCCCTGCTACAGCATGTCTCCCTTGGGATTGGTCCTGCTCCCTGTAGCTTTCAGTCCACACGCAGTCCCTCCTCCCATTCTACCCTCCCTCTATGCTGGGATTCCCACAGACCTGGGGCTACTTTTCATGTGACTGTCACAACATTGCTGTGTTTGGGTCTTAGTGTCTGGTGTCTGGCTATCCCTGTACTCCGGTCCCCAGGAAGCAGAGTACAGAGCCTCTTCCAGAACAGACTGCCTCCGTCTCAGCCCCCGGCCTACCAAGACACTCACTTGGCCAATTCTACCCAATCACAGCTTTAACCTGCCCCATCCCCCTGCCTGCTAATCAGGAAGCACTTGTCCTATGTCATGCTGTTTAAAATCTCTAGAATTTCTAAGGGACAGTCC